TAATTCTTATTGATATATTTATTTTTATAAATCAGAGCTCAATGTAAACTTACAAAGCATGATTATTATAAATTAACTGATTTAAAATATGGTTTCATCGCTACACAGGAATTACCATATTTCAAAAACTGAAACAAAAAAAAATTGAATTTGAAGTTTTTTGTTTCTGTTTTTGAAGTATGGTAATTCTTGTGTAGCGATGAAACCATGTGTTTAAATCAGTTAATAGATAGATAGATAGATAGATAGATAGATAGATAGATAGATAAGGCAGGGCTGATATAAAAATTAATAGGTTGTGTATGAAGGAGTGATGCTAGAACTGTGAAATATTGCATGCATTAATTTCAACTCTTTTTATTAACGACTACATTGTTTCTTTCCATGTAAACTGACATCTGACTCTTAAAAAAAAAAAGAAGACTTCATAAGTAGCAAGCAGCGATTTCTCATGACAGCTGAAAGCATAGCTACAACATCCAGCCTCAGATATGAAAGCTGGATATGAAACAATCGCCAATAACATAGAGGTGGCTCTACTGTACCACCGGTGTCTCGGATTACTCTAACTAGTGTACGGTGTGCTTTTCAAAGCTAATAGGTTGTTACAGGTTGGAGTTGGGAATCGTACGCTTAACCAATTTTAAATTCACAATTATTTTTCGATTAGACTGCTTACCAACGAAGGCTAAAGAACTCAGTCTGACCTACAATTTAACTTCTAGCTGATGAAGTTATTTTGGATTCTAACTTTTCCTAAATGTATCTACGAGAAAGTGACGCAACAAACTCGGCCGTAATTTGAACTCAGCACGCCGATTCTATTTCACCACTCACATCTGTAAAGATGCAATAATTTGGTGTGAATATTTATTAAGATTAACGCAAAGCCACCAAATTGTATCAATCATCGAAAACTTAAGAAAGACGAGCTGGTTCATCTTTGCCCGCTAATCTAGAAGAATATTAAAAAACCGCCGACAAGAAAACTAACGATCTGTTTTCCAACAGACATATGTCATAAAGGTTCAATCTGCGGCAATATTTAAAATTTCGAATGCTGAATTTCAAAGTAGGAAGATATTCAATCGACAAAAAACTGGCGCAATACACTCTTTTTTTCATCTATGTGGCATAGCGCTAAGCGTATATATATATATATATATATATATATATATATATATATATATATATAATAGCCACTTTTTCCCCAGACGTTAAAGTATAAAGAGAAAAAAATCATCATTGTAAGCGGTCAACTAGAGAAGCCTCAAGTGGCGAATTTTGGGCGGCGTCCAGTCTTTCTTTCGATTAGTTTCGCTGTTTCAAATAAGCCGAAATGTCGTTTTGATCAATTCCAGCAATAGAATAGGGGGTTGCATCGCGCCAAAATTGGGTTTCCGCTCGCAGAGCCTGGCCAGCTGACCATTTCCCAGTTCATTAATCGCTCGGCTGCTCAACCGAGCAGATGTGATGGAATTTCGCGCTGAACTGAAAGAATTTTGATGTTTGTCGTTGAGAGATCATTTGACACATTCTACTCTCACAAAGATGGCCTCAGGATACGAAACCAAAGACCAAGGGAGGCCAGCTCACGTTTCTACTTCATTTCTCGAATTTATGTCTCGTCTGCGTTCGATACGAGGACGTGAATTCAGATTGCATTAGCGCTATTTTTTTTTTTTTTTTTTTGCTTAAAATTTTACATAATATAAATTATCGTATAATTAAAATAGAACAGGCATTGTTATTCTTCTACCTGCCATGTCGCTTCAAGATGCTGACGATCATGGCTCTCCAGAATTCCCTGATCTTTATAGCTCTTAATAATTTGTTTTCTTTTTATCTCACCTTAACCGTGTTCCTCCACTTCCTCTATTTCGCTTGGTAAGTTATGAGTTGTCATCCTTTGCCCCCTTCTTGCCTTCAATCTGTCCTGTGAGTATCAAATTTTCCAAGCCCTCTTTCTTAGATTTTGTTTTCCTAGATCTATCATGACCGGGAGTGGTAGCATCTGTCAGGGTCCCAGCTATGGGTAAAAACTGAAATCAACAGTACGTTTTTATAATTACCAGCAATACGTTTTTAGTGAATTTACTAACAATACAGTTTAAAAAATTACCAGCAATACATTTTTATAGAGAAATTGCTAACATTACCTTTAAAAAATTACCAGCAATAATTTTTTATAGTGTAATTACTAACAATACCTTTAAAAAAATTACCATCAATACATTTTTGTAGTGAAATTACTAACAATACCTTTAAAAATTACCATCAATACATTTTTGTAGTGAAATTATTAACAATACCTTCAAAAAATTACCAGCAATACATTTTTCTAGTGAAATTACTAACAATACCTTTAAAAAATAACCGGCAATACATTTTGTAGTGAAATTACTAACAATATATTTTTAAAAAATTAGCATCAATACATTTTTGTAGTGAAATTTGCCTTTAAAAATAATTACTATCAATATATTTTTCTAGTGTAATTACTAACAATACCTTTAAAAAATTACCATCAATACATTTTTTGTAGTGAATTTACTAACAATACCTTTAAAAAAATTTCCAGCAATATATTTTTCAACAAACTATATATCTAAATATAAAAGTTTACTCTGATAATACAAAATCATGCACAAAATATCTGTATATCTGCGTTCAGAATATTCAAATTTCGGCATTAAATAACCTATAGAGATTGATATTCCGCTGAATAAAATCAACCAATCAATTAACCAATCATTCTCTTCTCAGTTTGTACAAATTTCAAATGTCTCTTCCTGATATCAAGTATAAGTGTCCTTTTTGTTTCCATTTTTTCTAAAACTCTCAGATTTGGTCCATGATATTCTCAGCATCTTTCTGTAGAATCACATTCCTGTTGCTCCATCTGGAAGGAGATTGTTCATCAATACAGCGGGACTAAATATATAAAATAAATTCTGTTGGATTATATTCAAGGAAAGCTACTGGTAGCAAATAACCCAGCAATACATGCCGTTTGGTAAGATCATCAGCTGCTAACATGGTTTTCTCACTAGACTATTCTGATGAGAAAAAATTGCTAGACTCCTAGATGGCTTTAAAAAAAAAGACCTATCAAAGAAACAATGAACATTCTTGTAATGTTCACGACCATCAAGCATAATGGGCTAGACTGGGAATCGTGGCTACGTATGCAGCCATTGTGTTAATGACACGGCATCGCTGGGCGGATGATTTCTCAGTCTGAAGTCACGAGCCAGAACGGAGGGCTACCTCGATGGAATCAACGACCACGTATCCGTGATCAGGACGTGAGAGGCTTCAAGTTGGACGAAATTGGCTATGGTTTAACCTGGAGAGGGATGGCTCGGTCAGGTCAACCGTGTGTAACAGCAAAATTGTCCAAATCGTATAACTGCATTATTAACCATCCCACAAAATATTTAATATCTAAAAAATTAGTTGGACTAATTGTGTTCATTTTTTCCAGATAAACCACCATGACACTATTTGAAATAGTCACTGAAAACCCTTTGAGTTATTCATCACAAAGAGAACAGGTTAAAATCGTTTCGTGTCAGCTCCACTGTTTTCTCAACTGAGCAATGGTGAAAGGAAAAAGATCATTCATGCCTTCAGTAATGGTACCAGCATTCATGCGATGGCTTCCATCTTCAAAGTCTATTCAAGAACCATCAAGAGAACGATGAATAAGTTTAAAAACGTCGGAGCAGTAGAGAGGAAAACTGGATCAGGAGGTCACAACAGGAAGAAGGATTATTTCAACTTAGAGCTAAAGGGATCAATTAGGAAAGAAATCTAAATAAATCCGTAAGACGTTTGGCGCGCGAGAGAGGAGTTTCGCCTATGACAGTCCAAAGAGTAGTGAAAAAAAAGACTTGAAAATGAAATCGTACGTGAAACCTGTGAGGCCACTTGTTAATCCAGGACAGAAAGTTAGAAGGTTAGAGAGGGCGAAGATCATCTTGAGTACGTTGGAAAATAATACTATATATATATATATATATATATATATATATATATATATATATATATATATATATGAACTTTATTTTAAACCTTCATGAGCTTCCGATCCTTAGCTATGATTAATTAATGATGAACATGTCATTTTCATTTATGATCTATTCATCAGAATTCTTCTGTTAAGCTTGGTGAGTAATTATACATTCTTTATACTCAAAGTAGAGTCCAACATTGTTATTAAAATTCTCGGAGAATTCCAGTAAGATATCTTTAATCATTTCTAATGGTCCAGATCTTAACCTAACCATTGGACAATTTTGTTGTTACTCGATTGGAACAATTTTGCTGTTACGCCCGGTACTTGCTCAGGACACGCTACGACTTTCAGCATAGATATATGGAGGGAACAGGTCAGCTACCCAGTTGCTCAGTGACCCTTCGACCACATTCGTCATAGACTGATGATGATGATGATGATGATGATGTTTTTTATTATTAATTCCCTATACTCTAACTCTTGGTGTTGAATACTATTAAGTTTAAGTTACCGAAGTCTTCGGGTTTTTCACCACTGTCATATATTTCGTTTAACACGTTCGACAAACTTATCATTTGCAGAATTGTCTAAGGCTGTTAATAACACTACCATAAACTTATTATGTTTTTTGCCTTTTCGTCTTGGCCACTTCTGAATTAATTTAGAGTTCTATTATTACAGGTCCTTTCATATTTTTTTTATTTATTGTAGGATTCTTTAACTTGTTGATATGAAAGAGCTCGCCGATATATTCATTATTTCTCTTTATTAACTTTTCTTTTTCCCATTATAAACGTTCCTTCTTTACATTTTATACATCCTTCGAAGAGCACGCTTTCTAATCTACAATTTCTTTTTTGCATGAACGCTACGTCTGTGTTCTGCAGTTTTTCGATCTCTGCACATTTCTCATTAAGTTAGTTTTCTTCTATTTGTTTGCAATTGTTTCTTTTTTTGTTTAGCCCTATATATTCTGTGCCATTTACTGGCATTATTTGCCGTCTCTCTTTCCAGAATTTCAGTTTTTGGCAATTTTTGTCTTCACTTGGGCTGAGTTATTTTGCTGTTAGAACTCGAACTTCCCTGAATTTGTTCGATATTTGATTTCTTCTTCTTTATATGCCGTGTCCGCACATGCCGAAGACGATCATGGATCTCCACAACTTACTGTCCCTTGTAGATCTTAATAAATTTTGTTTTTCTATTATTTCTCCTAAAACCTGTTTCGCCATCAATATACTCAAGCTCATTAATT